GTATATATAGTATATTCATTTGCAAATCGGAGAGCTTGTCATCAATGCAGACTCGAACGGGTTGCTTGGACGGCGTCTCCGTCTGTGCGTTATCAGCTTGTTGCTGCAGCTCGTCTGTTTATTGTTGCTATTAAGTGCAACTGCAACTGCAACAGCAACTACAACAGCAACAACTTCACAAATTGTGCATCAATTGAGCGCCCAAAGTGCAATAATAAAGCTCAACTTGATGTGCAATTGGATGAACAATGACAGCTGGGCAGTGATGCTATATATACATGGTATACACATATATAATATATAGAGTCCTAGTCAAAGTCATCTACAGCAAACATAAACTGTGAAATCAGAGCGCAGCCATATAGATATATTATATGTATATATGTACATATGTGACAGATGCTGGACTCGTATGCATTTTGCGTACAATCGAGTTCAATGACCTCTGTGTCTCTAGCTGCATCCACGTTGCATTATCAGCAGCACGAATGCGTTGAAAGTCGAACCATTTTTGCATTGTGTTCGCATAAGGCACTTGATTCGGTGTCTCTGTGTATAAACTACAGACATACATACATRCATATGTAACGAAATTCACCATATATACACATACACACACATACGTATAGATATAGATGTTTTCTTGATCGAGCAACGTTGCGAACGCCAACTGCTAAACGCACTTTGTTGCAATTTTTGATTTCTTTTCATTTTGTCACGCTTATCGGGGAATTCTGGTTCCAACAGGTTTTATCTTGATTTTGTTTGATATATATTTGCCTGTTCCATCTACGCGGCATCAAAAATATTTACAATTTGTGTAATCATCTGTAGATTGCTATCTTCAACAGATGTGTTTGTGTATAGGGCTTCAATTATATATAAATATTACGTCTTAGTGCGCCTTATGTTTTAGACTGGTTTTTTATTTATGAGAAAAGAACATGAAGCAAGAGTTCTTAGTCAGTCGGTCTTTGTTAGATTACGCCTCTGTCCTCGGTACTTGGTATTGGAAATAGCTTTTCGCCTCTTATTTCAGTAGCTGATTCTTGGAAAGGATCTTCATATTACCATAGTAACAAACAGTTAATACACCGTATTGCTGTTTTTTTGTTTGCTCTCGAATTGAAATTTGAATCAACCTTAAGCTTTGGGTTTTAAATTCAGACATTTAGCTCTAATAGGCTTCGCTTCTAGCAAAGTCTGGAAGTCATTTTATACAAATTAGTTATGATTTATTTATGAATTATATATGTATATAAAAAAATGGTATATACTTTCGTAATTATATATTTTTATTAAAAACCTATTAATATGGTTCAAGATCTTTATGATCAGAATGAAGAATACAATTATATCAATCATAATTTGTAGATATATAATCATAGGCTAGTCTTTTCTTACTTTGCATCTACCGCCGGGTTCTACCGTCTCTTCGAATCTCTTCTCTGCCCTTTTTCTGCCTTTTCTTCCTTCCTTTGTTATCTGCTCTTCTCTACTCGCTCCTTCGCTTGTATTTTATTTTATTCCAGTCAGGTTTCTTCTCTTTTTTCTCTTATCGTCTCTTCTATGATCTTGACCTCTCGTTTTTTGTTTCCTTTCTCTACTCTTCTCCCTCTCCCATTGTTTCTTCTCTTCTTTATTCATTATTCCATTCTTTCTTAGCTCTTCTTTTCTCTGCCCTTCTCTCTTCATTTCCATTCTCCTCTCTTCTGTTTACCTTTCCTCTCTTCATTGCTTTTCACTTCCCATCTCCTCTCATCTCCTTTCATTTGCTTCTACGGCCGGAGCCCATATTACAATAACGTTAAATATTGCCTGAGTGGAATAGTTAAGTTTAACCTATTTGTTTTCTCTTCTTCTTTTCTAGGCATGCGTATGACCATGTCCACAAACTCAACGATGAGTCCTCGCATCCATCGCAAAGGCTTTCGCATACCATCGAAAAGACAGCCGGGCAAGGGACTGCCGGGCAAATTGCACACTATAGCCAGGGTAAGCATATCATCATATACGATATGTATATTTTACTTAAATCTCAAATATTATCGTATGGTTCTGCAGACGGGTCCGGGGAAGCTAGTGCCAGGGAAACGAATACCACAGAGACCGCATCCGCCGCCCTGCGACAATTCCAATGATAGTGGCTTGGGATTCGATCAGCACACGGAGCTGCGCAATGGCACGGCCCCGGTTGCTGTCGATGCCAGGAGCAGCAACCCCAGCAGCAGCAGCAGCAGCAGCAGTAGCAACAGCAGTAGTTGTAGCAGCAGCAGCAGCACCAGCAACAGCAGCAGCAGCAGTGGCATCTCCGCCAGTGGTCAGCATTCAAATCTGATAGTAAATAGTGTGACTGCAGGTGCGGCAAGCAGCAGCTCCTTGCAGCAGCAGCAGCATCATCAACCGCAGCAGCAGCAGCAACAACAACAGCAGCAACAGCATCCGCATCAACAGCAACATCAACAGCAGCAACAACATTCACCGCAGCAGCATTTAATACGCGCGATACCTGTTTCAAGGTGAGTCCATCTACCCTTTCGTTCAATCAGCTGTTCAGTTCTTCTCACACACTCACCTGCATCGATTCATGTACACACACTCACACACACACACACTCACGCACACACTTACGCACACACACACGGACACACATGGGCTAGCTGTTGAGCTGAATTTATTGCAAATTGAGACGCGCTCAGTTACTGGGCCACTGGATTGTTTAATTTCGCCAAAGCCCCTTCGATTGTTGCTCTATACATAATAATAAAAAAAATATATATGTGTGAGAATCGGTTTAGTTCCGAAGTTGAAAATGCTTGGATCTTGGAGTACGGTTACCATATCGTTGGATCACTGATCGCTGACCAACAGCAACGCCTTTCAGTAGTGAGCCGCACTTGCTTTCGTAAGGAAGTGCTTCAAAGTTGACTTGACAAAGTGACTTCACTTTTAGCAATTCATTGGCAGCATGAGGACGCTGTAAGTGCCGCGCATCTATCAGATCTCGTCGCGTTAACTCAAATGTATTCATTGGCCAAGTGACGTGAGACCTGTTCACACAACATTTAGATAATTGCATTCATGTCGCGCGCCTCATGAAAATCTCGGGACATTTGCATTTCAATTTTCATCGCTCAGCACATTTTCTCAATTGATAAATGTTTTAATCAATTTCAAACATTTTTCTCGCTCAGCACATTTATTTTATATATTTATATAAATGGTGTTTACAGTGGCCACTTGCCCGTTTTCTCTTTAACAATTTCGTTCAAATGAATTTGTATGAGATTTTTTACTATGCTCGATATTTATTTTATGATATATATTTACTTGTGTGTTTGTGTATTTATTTGGATAAATTAAGATCTATTCAAATGGTTGGATTTTTCAATTTTCGCTTGAAACTTTAATA